TCATCTATCTATCTATGTGTACGTATTTGTGAAGAAAAAAAAAAGTTCTTTCTGTCTATCAACTGAAACTGTGTCTATGTGTGTGTGTGTGTGTTTATATTGAGTGAAATTGGAAATCAAGAAAAAAAGGAATAAAAGAGAAAAACGAAAATTCTATATCAAAATTCTTTGGTTCATCAAAATTGGCTTTTAAACATCAATATATCGCCATCTTGTAGTTCAAACGGAATGGACAAATATACTGTTGTGTTATATGGATGTATACATTATGGAACAGGCCATCATTTTATTTTTTTCATGTTGATTTTTTCCTGTATTGATTACATCCCACCACCATCATTTAATAGCTACTACGTATGATTATTTTTTATATAAAACAAAAGACAAAGATTGCAACGATAAACAAATAAAATAAAATAAAATAAAACAAACAGAAAAAAACCGAAACAAATAATATAAGCCGATAGTCAGATTGATTGTAAATGAAATGATGATGATCAGATTCTGGCCACCGCCCGAAAAAAAAATCCAGCATTATACATCAGCACAGCACAACACAACACAACAACACACAAACACATCATAAACAAAAACCTCCTAAACAAGTTAACGTCATTGTTTTGATTGCAATTTGCATTTCAATATATTTTTTTCAAGTTCTTGTTTCAAATGTAATTGGTTTGTAATGGATTCATAAAACAAAAATTATAACCAAGTCAGTATTATTGTCAACCTTAAAGGAATGATGACTTACTATACGTATATATACTACACACATAATGTAAAAAAAATTGTCACACATCCAATGAAATATCTCTCTTATGATGATGATGATGATGCTCATTATTGGTGGGTGATACAGGAATTCTTCGCTATTAGCTATTCATTATTGGAATAATATTGTGATCATCAAAGAGTGTCTGTGTGTAATAATAATACATTTGAATGGCAAAAAAAAAAAATATAGAAACATTCAACATGTTTTCTCGAACAAAAAAAAATCTCTATCTTGATGATTGTCTTTTTTTTTCTTGATGATGAAAATTTAAAACGCAGAATAAAATCAGGACATCATTTGTGTTGTATACATGCTTGGAAATATATATATAATTGAGAACGAAAAATCAAGTGTTTCTTGTTCATCATCATCATCATCAATTTAATTTAACATTGTTCACACAATTGTCTTTGCAATATTTTCCATTGTTTGCCCATTTCAGCCATTTTGATTGTACTTTTTTTCTGGTCATTGCTGCGGCTGTTGTTGCTGCTATTATACTTTGGTTATATTCAACGCTATTTCTCTCTCTCTCCCTAGATATACTATCTCTCTTTTTTTTAACTAAAAAAAAAACTTGGCCAACTCTTGTGTGTTGTTGAGCCACAAAAATATATTCATCGAATTTCCAAATCACATTTGAATTGTATATACAATTCATACATACAAACACACACACAAATACAAAATGAACGATTGAATGCATGTGCTCAGAACATTTTTGATGATTCGGATGTATGTATCGTGTGTGTGTGTGTGTGTGCTAGAAGCAGATTCCATTTCTATTTGTGAACGGTAAGTGTACATTTTATATTTATTGCTAAACTTATACAAACACACAATGAGATAAAAACTCTAATAAAATAATTGGTTAGTTGAATAAAATAAACGGCGTTGATGGCGCATGTCCATATTGAAATGTGAATAAAATAAATGTGTCCAATAATAATAATGATAATGATAATATATATTGAACAAATGAATGGATTGTTGCACACACACACACACACACATAGAGATGAAAAGTCATCCATCTATAATACATCTTTGAAGGGTGGTTCGATTTCCGTTTCCGGATCTTTTAGATTACCTACCTACCTATTCATTTACTATTGAATTTATTGATGAAGAAAAAAAAATAATTATTTGAATTCTTCAATGAAATCTTTATCGACCATTGGTATTGAAAAGATCACATACAATTCATACACACACACATACACATAAGATGACACCTTGAGAATTTCCGGTTTTTTTATATTCGGTTCAACCAACCGGAAGTTGGATGAAGAAAATCAACAACAAACGTAAATAGAGATATAGTATAAAAATCGAGTAAGATCTATGTAATCAAAATTGAAATCAAATTGGAAAATTATCCGCTAGTTGTCGTTGTTATCGTCATCATTTTTTTTTTTTTTGTTCACATATCATTCATTTGTCTTTTTTTTTCTCGTATAAATGTCGATCATCATCACCACCACCACCACTACTAATAACAACAACAACAAAAACAACAATATTGTGAAATCAGAAGACGAGAAAAAAAATTGCAATGGCCAGTTCTGCATATATTTAGCCGTTCGGTAAGCTTGACGGAAAAAAATAGAAATAATAATGACAGCAACAAAGCAGCCTATGAATCCGGATAGCCGTTCATTCATTCGTTCATATACTGGAAAAAAAAAAAAAAAAATTCATTTCATCGGCCAATCTTGTGTGTTTGTATGTGTGACACTAATTTACCTATGGTCGTCGTATTATACATTATTATTGGTGCCATGAGGCACATTTATACATAAGGCCATTATTGAGTGCAACATAATAATGTGTGTGTGTTGTGTGTGTGTAATGCTTGCTGCTGCTGCTGTTTGTTGTGTTTAATTTTGTTTAAAAAAAAAACATTTTTCCCTTTGAAAATCCAAATTTTTTTTTGTTTGACTTGAGTTTCAATCTGAATCAATTTTGTGTGTGTGTGTTTTTGTTCAATGTTTATAAAATGTCCATCATTCATCATCATCGTCTACCGTTTGTGTGTGTTTGCTGATTCTTATGTTTTGGTTTGTTGAATTCAAAATTATTCCAAGATTGAATCTAATCGAATTATATATTTCAAAATCTTTTGAATAAAATTTATTTAAACAGAAAAAAAATAATTAATTAATTTTTTGTTCACAGAATATACAGAATCCACACAGAATAAATTCAATAAGAATCGCAAATATCGATCCAAAAAAAATTCGAAAAAAATGGAAACCAGAAAATAAACAATCCAGAAAAAAGTAGAACAGTTTTCTTAATTTCACATATTTTCTTTCTTCATTTTTTTAGTTGCTATTTTTTCCCATCTCTTTATCATATTCTTTTGGATAGAGGGGGGGAATATATGAGTTTTTTCCGTTTTCTATTCATCGTCGTCGTTGTCGTTGTCGATTTGATCAATAAACAAATGCGCATGCTTAAAAATTGTCCATCATCATCATCATCATCATCAAGAACAACTGCAGTCAAAGTAGTCGTCATCTCGTTATAATGTCGTCGTTGTAGTTCCACCAGGAGACATCTGCTCTTCAACAGAAACAAAAAAAAAGCATCCATCGACCGATCCAATGAAAAAAAAACAAACCCAAAAAAAAGGAGAGTGAAATGAAATCATCAAAAAAAACAAAACAAGAATCGAATTATTATTATCAATTTCCCCAAGAACACGTGATTCTAAACTAACTGAAAAATAACCTTTTTGTTGGAAAAAAAAGCTGAAAAATGACAATGAATAAATCAATCAATAAATAATGTTTATTTCAACTAATAATCAGTGATCAATCATCATCATCATCATTATTGTGTGTACTGTGCTACATATATAAATTTTATATATACAACAAGCCAAATCGAATGATTCACGAAAAAAAACCCGATAAACGAATGATTCAATTAGACAAAAAAAATTTTTTTTTTCTGGCGAAAAATTGAAAAAAAATCATTGAATTATCGTTGTCATCGTGTGTATCCAGTATGTATGCATGTTTGTCTCTCTTCGTGTGTGTGTGTGTCTCTGTGTGTGTTTATAAATGGTTTGTTAGTTAACAACTTGATCCAATGGTAATTTTTTTTTATAATAAAAAGTTACAGTGAAAAATTGTATGAACGTTCCGTTCGTTCATAATCATCATCATCATCGTACTTTGTATGTGGATTTGTGTTTGGATTGAGCAAAAAAAAAAAAAGCAAAACACCAAAACCAAACCAAGCCGAAAAATAAAATAAAATAAAATATACTAAACTACATCCTTGCACACACACACACACAAGCCACGACCGAGACCTCGACACAAAGTTGAATCAAAAAATCAAATCGAGTGTATTTGAGTGTGTGTGTGTTGTGTATGGTAAGTTCGATGAGTAGAGAGAATGGTATGTATTTGAGCCAATAACGAAAAAGCCAGAAAAAAAAGTAAAAATATTCGAGTTGTGAATCGTCCGAACATTATACCCAAATAACAATAATAATAATAATAATAACGACGAAGACGACAACGGTCGACACAATCCTGTATATTTTGTATGTACATTTTGGCCATCATTTCAAATGATGACGACGATCCACTGATGATGATGATGATGATGATGAGGATCGCCTTTTCGATTATAATTTAGTGTGCGTAGAAGAAGAAGAAGAAGAAGAAGACGACGACGACGACGACGATTGGCAACTATACACATAAAAAAATGTTTTATTTTTTCTGTCTTTCAATTCCGTTTTATTCTTTTTATACTTTTTTCTATGCTTAGGCTTGCTAAAATATTAGATCTCTTTTGTCTTGTCTGTGTGTGTTTTTTTTTCTTTGGCCTGTCAATATCATCATACTAACTCTATTGTTCAATTCCAGATTTTCTTTATCACAGAATTTATTTTTTTTTGCCATGCAATTGAATATCAAACAACAACAACAACAACGATAATGAATCCAACGAATCTGTGATTATGTTTTGATTCTGTCTGTTTTGACTTGCGATTCCATCGATTTAGTCGCAATCATCATCAAATTTTTTTTTTTTTGAATCAAAAAACAACAAAAAAAAAATATTGCAATTAAATTAGAAGAAGATAGAGGAAATCAATGTGAATCAATCCAATCCAATCATCATTATTATTGTGTATGGCCCGTTTTTTTTTTGTTTGTGTTTTGAAAAATTGAATGAAAAAAAAAGGTTTTGAGAGATATTTTTTTTCACTGCCTTCATACACATACTCACACATTGCATCGCCTCCAATTTTTTTTTTTTGTTTATTAGTTTTTGTTGTAGCAAATGTTCACTGTGTATATATCCTCTGTTCATTCATTCATATTCGCCATTTTGATTATATACAGCATCATCATCATCAGCAACATCATCAGAAGAGATATTTTCAAAGCATAACATAATTTGGCTATTGGTGGTGGTTTTAAGTATCTTTTGTCGAACTTTTTTTTCATCATCATCATCATCATCATTTTCTTCTTTGGTTGTCGTCGATGTCGACGTCTTCATGTGTATTTGTATGTGAGTCTGTGTGTGTGTGTATATATCATTTTGTTGTTGTTGTTGTCGTTTGTTGATTCGATTCATATTCGAATTGAATTTTTTTTCTTATTTTCCTCCTTTATACGCCCGTGTTGTTGTCGTCGTTTAATATTCAAACAACTATCGACATATTGAAGTTTTGTTTTTGTGTTGAGCCTTTTTTTTCATCGACCATCTACAGCTCTTCAAAAAAAATTTCTGTATAAACGCAACGTGTGAGCATCTTCTGTGATTTGTTTGTTTGTTTGTTTCGTTGTTTTTTGAAAAAAAATGTTTTGATTATCATTTTTGGTATGTTTTGTGTATGTGTGTGTGTTTATGTTTGTTTGTGTTAAATGTATGTAATTTTAATTCTCATCTTTAAAAATATCCTTTTTTAGCCATTTCCGGCGTTCATTCGATTATCATTGTGGAAATACGAAATCTAAATTGTAAAAATATAACCAGAATCTTTCTTTCTCATACATAATTGATACCAGAATTTGTATGATCATCATCAACAACAACGTTTATTTCTACTATTTTAACCTCATCAGCTTGTCTCTTTCTCTTTTTTCGCTTACTGTGTTGTTAAAGGTAGGTTGGAATTTCCGGAATTTGACATTCTGTTTAATTTTTTTGTTTATTATGATGGATAAATTCATTTTTTTTGTTTAGTGTTCCATCTATGATGTTTATAGTGAAACAATTTTTTTTGCCCATTTTTTTTCTTTGTTTGTTGAATCTATCTATCTTTCTCTTCACTTATCACCCACGGTTTGTCCACGGTAGTTCACAGAACTTTTGCTCCTTATTTTATATATGAACACATTATAAATGGAACATTTTGAAATTGCGTTGTATTTTATAATAAAAACAGTGTAAAACCAAAAGAATCATCACACAAACACACAATCCTTGGGTGTACAACAAAGTGAATAAAAATGCATTTATGAATTGAATTGAAAGATCTTGTGTGTTTGTGTGTGTATAAACCGTGGCGATAGCTCATTGCATTGCTCAAACACAAACATACAAAAAAAAAGTTCGGCGAGTAAGTGAATGAATGTGAGTGTGTGAGAGAGAGAGAGAGAAATGTTGAGAAAAAAAAGCTACAGTGAATGTTTGTATAGACTCAACAAAATAGAAAATTTGACGGTTACATTTATGATAATAATCTGAAAAAACCCGTAAAATTTTTGCTCGTTTTATATATATCATGATGATTTCAAGAGTTTGACTTTCATTTTAAATGGATGGATACCATTCACAGGTATATTCTTTTTTGTGTTGTTGTTGTTTTTCTACTACTCGGGCATCAAATGGATCTGTATAAAAACTTCGGATGGCGTCATATATTTTCTCATATACAAAGGATACACAAAGATATAGAGTGGGGAAAAAAAGATGATATCCTGTGCATGTGTGTGCTTAGTAATAATATATCCCCACACATTGTGAAATACACAGTTATTGATGTCTTGCAACCTATGTGTGAGTGATATACCATTTTTTTTCAAGTGAATATATTTGGTGCATGTGTAGCTTTATTAATTATTATATTATTCATTTTATTGGTATTAATTACTTTCTGTTACCCATATAGCAACTCCTATTTATGAAACAGATTAAAATTCTTTTTTTTTTGGATCACTGTGCCAGATATCAATTGATTTTGTTTTTGTTTTTTCTTTTCTCATTCTCATACACACCTCCAAGTTTACAATGATAAAAAAATCTCTGACTTTAGATTTTTTTTATTATTTTCTAACTGAGTTTAATGAGATGAGATACTTTATGAACGAAAATTCTCTATCATTTTTTGATGTGACGAAGCTCTTATTGGTCGATTCGGTAATTTTTATTTCTTTTTTTTTTTTTTTTTTGATTTTGGCGAATCGACAAACCATGACGACGGCGATGGTGATGGTGATGGCACCAGTTATTGTGTTATAATAGCTAGGCAGATTCTTGTTATACCAAGAATAAGAGAAAGAGGGAAAGAAAATAACGAATCAAATTTAAAAAAAAAAAAAAAAATTTCTTGATATCCTGGGCATAATTTGCGCATATGCCACATCACACATACAAGCATTTAATGTATTTTTTTTCTTGTTCAATTCAGAGCCCTTTTTCTTTATTATTTCGCTTGCCGGGGGTGTTTTTTTTCGTTGATTTTGGTTCGATTCAATATACGACATATATGGCCTAAGTTGTGTCTTTGTTTGTTTGTATGTATGCATGTATGTTGTGAAACAAAGAAAAAAACGGATTCTGTATTATACTTTGGTTACTCATATCTATGTGTAATAAGTATCGGTGTGTGTGTGTGTGTGTGTGTGTGTGGGTGGCTATATCTGGTTTTGTTCGATTGTAGTGTATACACACAGAAAAAATTGACACCAATTTTTTTGCGAATGATGGGGGATAAAATAAAATAAAATTCGTACAGTAAAAAAAACAAAGCATTACTGAAGGACTTGATGTCGGTGAAAAAAGGGAGTCTACTCTCTTTGAATACATAAAAAAAAACTGGACTAAATGATTATTACTCACTCATCAATGAATAGCTGAATTTGTTTGATTTTGGTGGTTTCTATTAGAATCGGTCGTATGTTTTTATTGATTATATTAACATCACACACAGAATTGTGATTGTGTTGGTGGTTTAGCATGTCCTTCAAATTGAAATTACAATGTTAACTAAAATCATCATCGTTAAGGCCAAGTTTTCCAATTTTTATTTTCCCAACAACAACAACAACAACTCAGCAATCCAAACCGATATTTGAAAAAAGCTCTATTTGATTTGATTTCCTTTTTTCCTTTGTTTATTTGTGTTGTTGTTGTTGTTGTTCACCCCTCAGTTGTTTTCTCATCATATATAAATTGTTAGCTTCTGTACTGTGTGGTAATGGTATGGTTTGTACCTGAACACACACACACACACACACACACAACAGCAGCAGCTGCTTCTGATGTTTGGCCCTAATTGTTTACCTTTTCTGGTGATGATGATGATGACCTTTTTCACCATTTTTTTTACATTACTATTTTCCGTATGGTTCCAACATTATCATTATTATTCATTGAATTAAATATAAGGCTGAAAGAATAAGAGGGCGATCATTCATTCAGTCACAAACAAATGTTTGAATGGAAATAGATTCAATGAATGATATTTGTAGAATAGTTTGAAGAATGATTGTTTCAATCTAAAGAAAAAAAATAGTTTTTCGTGTTGTGTCTATACATTGAAAATCTATGATTAGTAAAGAGATTATATCATTTTGTTACATGGTGACAAAATAATATTGAATGATGAAGATGATGGTGGTGGTGGTGGTGATGATGGCGAAAAGTAGGAGGAGAAAAAAAAAGAAAAAAAAGAGTTGGTTGATATATTTATGTGAAAGGAAACAAGCTCATTGTACAGTTAATACAAACAAATAGTATTAACTTTATATTAATTGAATACTCTCTATAGCGAATCGGGCAAATGCACAATACACAAACACACACAGGACATTTTATATCCTGATTATCATCATCATCATCATCATCAGAGAAAAAGATTGATAGAAAAAAAGAGAATTGAGAGGCCAAATTTACACATTGATAGTCAGTGTTTATGTGTGTGTGTGTGTGTCTGTTATATATGCAGGAATTTTAGAATTCAAACGGGTTCAAAAATAAACAAGATCAAAAGGCAGGTGGCGCTCATTTTGAGTATAATAATCCTTGTAATATTTTTTTTTATTTGACCTTTGTTTAATAAAGTTCCGGTTCCGGTTATGATTGTTTTTCAAATTTTTTTTTTGTCATTTTCCGATTACGTACTAAATATATGTGTGTGTGTGCAATATTTTGAAATTTAATGTTATTTTTTTTGTTTGTGTGTGTGTGTGTGTCAATAATAAATTTGTTGTTGTTATCAAAGCAAATCATAATAATTCACTTGTAATTATATGATTTTTTTTTCTTCATCTTTTACGTTTCAATTATTTCTCATGTTATATGTCAAGTTATTTCATTTGATTTTCTCTTGAATTTGATGTGTGTGTGTATGTATAATGAAAAAGAAATGCACATTTTCTGTTGAAGAACTTGTTATTTGTTTGTTGTTCTCAGCAGATTTTTTTTTCATTCCATGTTCATTCTCCATACACACACACACAAAGACTTTGTAGATGATTTGATGATGATGATCGACCATGGTTAAGGCGTGATACTGTTGATGTTGTTGATGTTGATGATGATGATGATAATCATGAAGTCGATGAATGTTCATTATGATATTAGTGTGCATATATATCGGCCGATGTATGGCTTTTTTTTCGATGGTAAAATTGACTTGTGTTTCTATAGAATTTCTTCATCTTTTTTTTTGTTACAAACGTAATTCGTACTATTATTACGAGCACATGCGTAAGAATTTTTTTTTTTTTTGGTTCATCCCCCATAAATTTACGCGCGAATTTTGAATTATTTTGAAATTCTTTATGTAGCGTTTGAGTTTGTATGTGTGTGCATAACTGCCACACCACTACAATTCGTTAAGTGTATTTGTATTCAACAAATTAAATATGACGAATTCACTATCAATTGCATTTATTTTAAACAGGAAAAAAATCAACAACATTGTCGCCATCATGTGTCCGATTTTAATTTAAATTTTTCTAAAAAAAATTGGTTAACAATCAATGCCATTAAATTATTGAATGAATAACAGTGAAAACTAACCCAAATTTTTAAAGCTGATCAATCAAAATCAATGTTGCATTCACAAAAACTTACACACGTTCAGTGACCGTAAGGGCGGCGGTGGTTATTACATACCTCTCGGAGGTTTTTCTTTTTGAATGAATGAATGAATGAATTGAATGAACAAAAAGATCAAGATACGTTGACTTTTGTATTAGCCAACAATAATAATAACAACAACAGTGACAATGACAATTACAAAAAAAGCGTTAGACAAACTAAAAAGAGGACATAAGATCATATGAATAAGTATCCCTTAATCACGTGAATCCATTGTTATATGGTAACGTTTCATTGATTCAAATCTAAGCATTTGTATCTATTACCGTCGGTTAGCTCATGCTAATATTAGCACATCCTATCCGTTAGAACTTGACCTATTCCATTTTTAACCATCGAAATATCACTTTGATTATTTGTACGATTTTTTGAGTGGAAAATTTTTTCATTCAATTTAATCAAGTTTTAGACAAAATTCTTTGTTATTCATTTTTACAATATTGCCGATTTGTTCATCAAAACTCTTATGATGTGTTCATCAAACTAGTCAACGTAAGGGATTATTTTTAGGAATTGAATTGACAATGAACAACAATAAAATGATCCAGAAAATTCATCAGAATCAACAGAATATTTTTCGTTTGTGTGCGTGTGCGTGTGCGAGTGTTTTATATATATCTACTACTAAATGCCGCGTCATCGTTGTACTTATTGTTATTGTCGATTTGGCCATTTGTTTTTTTTTCTATTTTCGGTATTTTCCAGAAAATTTTCATTCTATTGTCGAAAAAATAAGAACAATCATCATTATGAATTGGAGTGAAAAAAAATAG